CAGCCTTCTAAACAGGCACTGTAGAGGACAGACCGCAGGGGCCTGCAGAGGACCCACTAGAGGAGCGGCGGCCGGCGAATACAGAGCCGCGTCTGATGCCGCAGGCCAGTCAACTCGTGCGACCGGCCGAGCCGGCGCCCCCGGCCCCCCCCTCACTTTGCCACTGGCCAGGAGTGTCGGATGAACGGATGATCCGACACTCCCGGCGGAGAGACCAGGGGCCCGCCGGGCGCTGGATACTGATCCGGCGGCCGGCATCTTGCTTGGGCCCCCCCAGAGCCAGAGGCCCCGGGCGCCCGCACCGCCTGCACCGGCGGTAGTTCCGCCACTGGTTCAGTACCTGGCATCCTCACAGTATGTTTATGGAATGATTCTTTACACAAGGGATTTTTAGTCTGGGGAATTGATCTAAGGTCTGCTGTCTATGAGTTACCTTTACTAGTCTGGTAATAAGCTTGGCAATGGTCACAAACGCTTACACTTTACAGCTTGTTAGCAATCCAGCAAAATATTATATACTGTGATATACTGTATAATAATAGACTGTACACATACAGGGCTCCTCACCTCTGATGTTATTGGCACAACCATAATTACTGGGTAATTAGATGCAGCATCACAGTCAAGGTGCACACAGCAGCATGAAGTCTTTTATATACAGGTGAAACTCGAATAATTAGAATATCGTGCAAAGTTAATTTATTTCACTAATGCAACTTAAAAGGTGAAACTAATATATGAGATAGACTCATTACATGCAAAGCAAGATAATTCAAGCCGTGATTTGTCATAATTGTGATGATTATGGCTTACAGCTCATGAAAACCCCAAGAACCCCAAATCCACAACCTCAAAAAAGTAGATTATTACATGCAATCAATAAAACAAGGATTGTACATAGAACAATATCGGACCTCTGAAAAGTACAAGCATGCATATGTACTAAGTACTTGGTTTGGGCCCCTTTTGCAGCACTTACTGCAATTACTTTTGCACGATATTCTAATTATTCGAGTTTCACCTGTAATATTTGTTCCAGTGAATGTGTATTTTCTTCCCTAATGGGAACTGTGAACTTGAGTGCTGGATTCTACAGCAATAAGTTACTGTCTAGAACAGAGATATTGAATTTAAATTCCGGTGAGTAAAATGTCCTTCCAGCAGAGGCCTGAATTTCATGTCCCCTTAATGCCCTCTTACATTAGTTGTCCCCATTAGAGTACCCCCTTACATTGGTGTCCCCATCAGAGTGCCCCCTTACATTGGCTGTCCCCATCAGAGTACCCCCTTACATGGTCTGTCCCCATCAGAGTGCCCCCTTACATGGTCTGTCCCCATCAGAGTGCCCCCTTACATTGGATGTTCCCATCAGAGTGCCCCCTTTCTCAGAGGTCTTAGATACACGTCTTCTGCAGAATATGGGTATCTAAGACCTCTGTTTTTAACCTTAGCGGTTAGGCAGGTTTTTTTTTGCCTGCTGGCTGGTGAGTGTGCTGGGAAACTTTTTGCTGTTGTACGGTATAAAGCCCTTCCATGTGTACCTTGCTTGAAAGCTGGTTATGAGTTGCCATTTATTTTGCTCCCCTTACAATGGTGTCCCCATCAGAGTGCCCCCTTACATCAGGTGTCCCCATCAGAACGTCTTCTTTCTTAAAGGCGAACTATGAGGTGAGTGAAAATCACTCACCCTCATAGTTCAAGCCAACGTGTGACAATGAAACTACACACAGCTGGGTGGATCTGGACAGCATTGTCGGGATCTGTCCCGGCTGCGGCGGTCTCAGTATACCGCGAGCTGTAGCTCGCAATATACTGAGCTTTGAGTCACGGGAGGCCGCTAATATATGTCCTCCCGTGACCCTTAAGAGAACTACGTGGAAAAACACTTACCCCATAGTTCTCTTTTAAGTTGTCCCCATGAGTGTCCCCTTACATTAGTGTTCCCTATCAGAGTGTCCCCTTACATTAGTTGTCCCCATTAAAATACCTTCTTACTTTAGTTGTCCCTATCAGAGTGCCCCCTTACATTAGTGTTCCCTATCAGAGTGCCTCTTTTCATTAATTGCCCCCATCAACTACAACTAATGTAAGGGGACACTCTAATGGGGATAGCTAATTTAAGGTCACACTCTGATGGGGATAACTAATGTAAAGGGACACTCTGATGGGAATAACTAATGTAAAGGGAAACTCTGATGGGGATAACTAATGTAAAGGGACACTCTGATGGGGATAACTAATGTCAGGTGACACTCTGATAGGGACAACTAATACAGTATAAGGGGGCCTCTTTACATTGCCCCCATCAACTACAACTAATGTAAGGGGGCATTCTAATGGGTACAGCTAATTTAAGGTGACACTCTGATGGAAACAACTAATGTAGAGGGACACTCTGATGGGGATAAACTAATGTAAGGGGGGACTCTGATGGGAATAACTAATGTAAGGGGGCACTCTGATGGGGACAGCTAATGATTAGTTATCCCCATTAGAGTGCCCCCTTAGAATGGTTGTCCCCCTAAGAGTCCCCCTTTAAAATATTATCCCCACTTACCTTGTGTACCAGCAGGCAGAGGGAGACAGAACAGGCTAAAGGTGAGGACAGCAGAAGTTACACTTTCCATCATCCTAACAACCAATGCCTGCAGAGGAGGGTGGGCCCGTGCTGGGTTTTGGCTGGCAGTGGATTCACCAGTCTCGGAGACCAGTGCATCCACTATGAGTCCGACATAAATCAACGCAAGTCCACAATCGCTGTCTGGACGGAACCGCCACTTGCCATTTAGTGATCCTCGATCTAGATAGAAGATTAATGCAGACACTGTTATCTCTCTGTTTACACCTGTTACTGATTCAAGGTTACCGTTTTATTTATAAATGTAACTGTAAGTTTTACTAATGAATCACTCTGAAAGCTTCATTTAGATGCATGGTGCTATTTAGATATTGACAAGTACAGAGTCGTGTTTCTGGCCTTGACAACTGTTTAACGATCACAATATTTTAAAGCTGAACTCCAAGAATTATCTTTTTTTTAAACTTACATCGGTTCAGGTGGGCTCAGTGTAAGTATCCATATGTGATATCCGGAGGGCCGATGGGGATCTGTGCTACAAACAGTGATAACCGCGATCTTCCAGGTGCTGCTTCAGCGGCTTCCTCCCTTAGTAAAGTGTGCCAGTATTCAATTTAGATTTCTGAAAACAAGATGCAAGATGCAAGATACAAGATTCTGGTACTACTATTTGTTTTTCAGAAAAGCCTCTCCTGAGCTCCTCTCTGGTTTAGTTTCACCTCATTAGTGGAACATTACTTATCCCGACTTCATGGCGAAGCCTTGCTAATAACTGCTATTCCACTGACCAAAGAGCTCAATGGATACTTTTCTTAGACAGAATGATGAAAGAAAGTGAAGCACAGCAATGAAGTTAATGAGATTTAGGCCCCTGTGAAAAGTGAAACAAAGCAAGGGAGATGCATAGAAGAACTAATAGAGGGGATAGTGTGATTCAATTCCCTAAAGTTGCCCATTGACAATAGAGGGTGGTGGCATGTGCAGGCATGAACTGATGCCCTCAGGACAATTGTTTGGGTTGTAGCGAGCAGCTGTGATACTGGCTTATCTCAGGAGAAACAATAGTGATTGGACAGGTTTTTCTAATATGTCTAGTTATTTAAGTCCACGTGAATAACAAACTATGTGTTCTATTGCCCTGCATTAAAAAAAATAGTGCATGTCCAGTGAACATTAAGGTGCAGCCTGTTCAAAATGAATGGGCTGCCTTTAATGCAGAGTACTTCAATGCACTGTGTGTTAATGCATAAGTGTTAGTACAATGTATATGAATGGGCCCTTAGCGCCCATAAGTAGTTCCCTTAGCGCTGCATGTGTCTTATAGAGCCTTGGTTCTCAACTGGTCACGACCCTGTGATCAGTGGGTCGCCGCATGCCTTCCACTTTTCTAGGTGAAAGCCTCCTCAGCCTCCCCCTAGAGCAGCACTGTCAGTTCTCACACCAAGCAGCCATTTAAAATATACTGCCCAGCGCTGAGTGTCGACTTGAGGTGAGGTGGGGTGGGCTG